TTGCTTGGCTTAATCAGCAATGTAATTAAGCTGTCATTTGGCTACATATTTCCATGGGTTGACTTGATATGCTTGTATATTCTGATTTATTTTTTTTTTGCAAACTGGATATGATTGCTAGGGTATGTACAGGTAGTCTTTGACTTACGATCACAATTGAACCCAAAATTTATGCTGCTAAGTGAGACAGTTGTTAAGTGAGTTTTGCCCCATTTTACAACCTTTCTTGCCACAGTTGTTAAGTGAATCATTGCACTTAACAACTATGCAATAAGAAATAACAAACATGGATATGTCTAGTTTAATGAAGAGAAGGACGAGGGGGGACATGATAGCAGTGTTCCAATATCTCAGGGGCTGCCACAAAGAAGAGGGAGTCAAGCTATTCTCCAAAGCGCCTGAAGGCAGGACAAGAAGCAACGGATGTAAACGAATCAAGGAGAGAAGCAACCTAGAACTAAGGAGAAACTTCCTGACAATTAGAACAATTAACCAATGGAACAACCTGCCTCTAGAAGCAGTGAATGCTGGAAGTTTTTAAAAAGAGACTGGACAGCCCTTTGTCCGAAATGGTATAGGGTTTTCTGCCTGAGCAGGGGGTTGAACTAGATGACTTCCAAGGTCCCTTCCAACTTTACTACTACTACTACTACTACTACTACTAATAATAATAATAATAATAATAATAATAATAATAATAATAATATTAAGTTAGTAACATGGTTGTTAATTGAATCTGGCTTTCCCATTGACTTTGCTTGTCAGAAGGTTGCACTTTTTTCAGTGCCGTTGTAACTTTGAACCATCATTAAATGAACTGTTGTAAGTCAAGGATTCCCTGTATTATCCTGGCAAGCTTAAAAAAACATCCTGCATGATACTCTTTTTCCTCCACCTATAAATAGTTGTATAATCAGTGATGGCTTCCTTCTTGAGAGTTTAAGCAACTTAGCCTAGCTTATGAGTACTAATTTACAGATGGCTAGGGAGGAAAGGTTTTGAAAGATTTACAGAGGAAAAATGCAAAAAATAGGCACACTGAATCCACCACCCACATTTCAGCATGGCTGAATAACCGGAATTCACATCATTGAGCATTGATATCTAGAAGCTGCTTCAGACTCTGCCCATTCTATAGAGAGGTATATAGTCAAAAGAACATCTGCTACCACTCTGACTTGAACATAGTTGAGGTATTCAGGAATTCATTGGCTTGGCTGTCACCACTGGCAACTATGACCACAGTACTACTTTACCAATGTCCTTTTTTAGAAAAGCTAGGAGAAGAACTCAGTGTCATTTCAAGTCCTTTCCAGGGAATCACATAAAGCCAAAAGCCTGGAAAATTTAAGATGATTTCCAAGAGAAAAGGTGCTGCTGAAATTTGTCAAAAATGTCATCTTTGAACCACTATGCAAGGAGAATGGACAGAACCCAAGGGACTCTTACTCTGCTAATTAGCAGACAAGCTGGGGGGGTGGTATCTGTGCCCATTCGTCAGTCACACAAGTGATATAAAGAAACTGCATCCAAAATATGCCAGTATAGTATCAGACATTCAACCATAATATTTTATATCTCATAAAATATTACTGAAGAAATATTAAGGAAAGCCAGCAATAAGAATCTCATCAAAAACCAAAAGCACACAGATGTTCAGTAATATTTGGGAAGCAAACTGTTTAGTAGTGCCTTACAGACTGATGTGTAGAGATACTGCAAAAAATAAGATGTGAGTACTTTTGGAATGAGAGTTAAGCAAAACTGGGAAGATGTTACATAAATCACTAGTGAGTCCCCTTTTCTCATACTTAGCAAAAGATCTATGAAACAAATGGATTGTTAGAATGTTTCACTGATGTCCAGTATTTTTCATGAGATCAATATAGGAATTATTGGCCTTTTTAATGGGCTTGTTTTCCTTTCCTTATGTTACAACACAACACATTCAGATTGTTGGGGGAGTTTCATGGTTACATATGTAATTACATACTGGTGGGGGGAGACAGACCAACACAACTTCAAAATTGGAAAGTTCATCCCACCACAATTTTCTAATCAAAAACTATACCTGAAAATGACTTATATCAAAATATGAAAATCAAGTGGGGGTAGAGATTAGATAGTTCCCCATGAACTAAGCTTCTATATACGGAAGTATTCAGAACAGTTTCTCATTTCTTCATTTTTCATTTTTAGTAAAACTGATCAGTTTTATTTCTCATCTTAACCATCTCTATGGAAAAGAACAGTTAAGCATTCAGATTCATTGTTTGACTAGTTTGGCTAGCAATAGTCTTGATATCCCTCCTTCAAATATTCCGTGTGTCTGTGTGTGTGTGTGTGTACGCGCACGCACATGCACAGACGAATGCACACTATTAGTTTCACTGTGCATAGTGTTTTAGGTTTAACTGCTGACTAATCCCATCAAACATAGTGGGTAATGGTAAGGCTGATCCTACGTATCAATAAACACATATAAACACTGTAAAAAACAAAACAAGGGGAATGAGTGATTGTCCATAGGCAGCCAGTAGTATACAGATATCCTCTTGCAAACTCAAAACAAATTATAGCAAAGATTGTTAAAGTTCTTCTCTCATCAAATAATGTTTCAGGATAACAGGGCTGCAAATGGAGCAGCGCTAGCGCCAGTGGGATGCTGGTGGGATGCTTGGGATGGGGCGGCACTAGCACTGGGCGGTGCTAGCGCCAGTGGGATGCTCGGAGCAGTGCTAGTGCCAGCAGGATATTGGGGCGGGGCGGCGCTAGTGCCAGCGGGACGCTCAGGGCAGTGCTGTTGCCGGTAGGATGCTCAGGATGGGGCAGCACTAGTGCTGGTGGAATGCTCGGGAGGTGGTGCTAGTGCCAGCGGGCTGCTCGGAGTGGTGCTAGTACTGGTGAGATGCTCGGGGCAGGATGGCGCTAGCGCTGGCGGGATGGTTGGGACGGCGCTTGTCTGGTGGGGTGCTCAGGGCAGGGCGGTGCTAGCGCCGGCAAGATGCTTGGGGTGGCGTTAGCGCGAGTGTGGGGGATGAGTGTACGCACACACACACATGCACTGGCCATCCTTTCATGCAGCCCGGTGACTAAGAGGCCATAGTCCAGTAGTGGGCCATAGCCCACAGGTTGGGGACCCCTGCGCCTAAGCCAAAATCACATAACTCTATTAATAGCAAGTAACATTGAAGGAATGTTTAAAATTTTGGAAGGCTGAACAGAAGTATTTTTTATGTACAAAGAATGCAATGGTGATCAAATAGGGTTATTTACAAGAGAGGGAAACAGGAGGAAAAATGATAAGAATCTCCTAGTTCCAGAGAAGATTTGCTCATTTTAAATCTATGCTGATTTTGTTGGGACCTATCCCAACCTGTTTAATGCTTTTGCACTTTGGGTTGCAATTTGCGAGGGCATGCACATCTTTCACAATGATACAGTATTAAAAGAGAAAATCCTTGTTTAAAGAAGAAAATCTGGTTTATAGGTTTAAGACTAATTGCTTAGCTCTCATCAGACACAAGGGAAACATTTAACCTCAGTGTGTTGCACCCACAGATAATATGCTGGTGTTTCACACCACAAACAGCACCTTTAGACTAAGTAAAATAAAGAAGCAAAATCCTTTACAAATAAAAGACAGTCAAGAAAATTGGAGAAAATAACCATCATTGTATTCAACTTTCCAGCAGGGAAAACAAGCTAAAGACAGTCCACTAGATGTACAAGTAATTAAAGACAGTGACAGAATGTATTGTAGAAATGTTTGTGGCTTTAGTGTGGTAAGAAAAGCCATTACAAATACTTCTATAAAACACCTGAGAGGAGATAAATGATTTGAAGGAGATCTGGATAATAATGTAAAAAAGCTTCTATACAACCCCAGCATACATGAATGGCTGAAATGAACCTATACCCAAGCAAAGAAGCAGCCAGTAGTATATTCCATCAGCATACAACCAGATCCATAGTTCAGAAGGAGATTGCTAATTAAAAGCTGGTGAGCTTTAAATAATTCATCTCCTTAACTCATATTGATTTGATAGTTTAGTGGTAAGGATCTTGAAACAATATTAAACTGTTTCCTCCAGGCCTGGGTGGTAGATGACTTTTTTTCCTGTTGCCCATGTATAAATTTACAGCTGAAAGAAGCTGATAAAAGAGAAAGAAACACAACAGAGAGAACATACTTTGACAGGCACAAATGAGGAAAAACTATCAATTAACATGTCTCAAATTTCCCAAAGACCACTAGGAGATATAGTATGCATCTACTGCTAAATACATACCACAACACTATTTCCTATACTGCAGATAGGTGAAACACATCATATTCCAAGCTGCATCTGCTACAGAAGTCATTTTATAATTTTTTCCATATATCTTAAAATCCCCATAAGTCTGTAACATCTCTCACAAACATCAGCAGAAGAATAAAGAGCATGCTTACAACTGAGTTCAAAAGCAAGCATGAATGTGCTCAAACCTATTCCTTGAACAGAAGTATAGATTAGAAAATAAGGACTACATAAGGGGTAACCTGGCATGACATCAGGATCTCCATATCTTAACAGGTGAGAAAAAGAAACTAAATACTTTCCTGAGATGTTATTAAAATCTCAAATGCAACTCAGATTCAAATATTTAAAATTTATGAAGAGGTGATGGTTGGTACAAAAGAAGAAGGACACTAAGTAGGCCGTGTGTGTGATTGCCAACTCTGCTTAAAATTACTCTTCTAAAAAACTCCTTTCCATTCATAAAACAACTTTATCCTTCTGGATTTAGCATCTTCCCCCTTTTTTGATTACCCACATCAAAGATGGGATCCAAAATAGGAGAACCTCACAGGAAACTGAATTTCACTGGCTGAGAGCCTCATATCTTGCAAATTACATCAGAGCAAACACACAGCAATCTTCCAATCATAATACACAAAGAGGGACTGAGGGGAAATATAGACGGGGGGGGGGGGAGGAATAGGACTTGTTTCTTACCTATCCCACTGTGAGGCCTTCCTATGTGCTGTAGATTCAGTCCTTTGTTCATATCTAACAGCCCATTCTTTGGCCAGCTCCCCATGGCAAAGCTATATGCCTGGAAAAGAAAGAAAATCATTTAACATGATAGTATAGCAAGACGTTGGACTCAATATCCTTCAAAATATTTGATTTAGCCATTCTTCAGCATTATGAAGTCCAAATATTTGAATCATTTTTTAGAAAGTCTACACCCCTCTTTTCAGTATTTTATTTTAGGTATTCTCATCCTGATATTACACTTCTATTAAATACAAATTCACATTCTCAATATTCTTTTGAGTGACAAAATCTGACTTGGTACAAAGGCTTTAAAATTGTGGTGGATAGCGTTGCTAAGGTATTTTTTTCCAGATTTCACCATGAAAAATGACAGGTTTTGCTCTCCACTACAACAAAATCATGAACATTTATTATTTGCACTAACAGGTACAAATTGACATTATACGTGTTGTTCGCCACCATCAATGTTGTCCCAGTATCCCATTTAAAATAGTGTTTCCTACATACAAGAATTCTCCTTGCTATATATATATGCAAATAGGAAAAAAAAACAGAAGATCACATTAGTAGACAAAGTCTTAAAAAAGAAAGTGGGTTTATTTTAAAAAAAATACAATAATCTGTGAGGCAGACACAAATGTTCTTATCCAGACTGAGTCATCCTCTTAGAATCCTAAAATCTTGATCACACACTTCTGTCTTAGGGGGTTTTTTTTTGGTTTGTTTGTTTGTTCAAGCAAACTCTGGATAGAATCTCTCATGCTTCCAACTTTTTTTTCCCCCTGAGACACAGAAGACTCTTTACCTTATTTACAAATGTGAAATTTTTAACAAACTAAAATACAAGCGTCTTCCTATCTTAAAATTTAAAAGTGAAGTAACTTTTAGCAGCAATCACCTAGCCAGGAAAAAGTAACATTTTTGCTGTTTTCTATAAGTAGCAAATTACTTTTTGGCTCCTATAGCCATTATGTTAAGACCAAGGTCTGATCCTAGTTCTCAAAGGCAAACCCACATACCAAACAATGTGATTGTTATGCTTCTAATACATAGGACAGTGATGGCGAACCTTTTAGAGACCGAGTGCCCAAAAACTGGCCCCACCCCCGCTCGGCCCATCCCTCACCCCGCCTGCCCGCAGGGCCACTCACCACCTCCAGGGCCCGCCGCAGATCGTCCAGGCAGCCCAGTAGCGCTATGGCGGTCATGCCCTCTGCCCGCGCCCTGCAGCATCGTGCAGTAACTGTGCACGATGGGGTATGAGGGCAAAGTCTTGTCTACGCTGCCTGGCTGTAATGTCCTAGGCTGTGCTGCTCCGCGTGGGCCACGCTCAGGGGCGATTCTCCTTCAGGGGGGCTGCTGGAGAGGAGGGGATCACGGCGGGAGGTGAGGCTGGGGCAACGGGACGTGTGCCCACAGAGAGGGCTCCGAGTGCCGCCTCTGGCACCCGTGCCATAGGTTCGCCACCACTGACATAGAAAATTGTCCAAGAGCCTTTAAGTGTACTGGGTCTTTGGTTACTTTTCATTCCCCCCCTGCTTCTCATTATGTAAATATATGGAGTTCTATTTAATATCTGGCCACAGAGGTTTCCAAATTACTAGAAGACAACAAGAGCAGAATATAAAGTGAAAGGATCTCTTCCCCCCCTCTTTCTCTCTCCCTCTCCATCTCCCCTTTGAGACAATCTTGATGAATGTCTTCTGGCAAGTACATGAAGTAGTAGTTTTCTAGCAATTGTTTTGGAGGTGGTTCACCACTGCCTTCTAGACAGAACTAGAAGTCAAACCTAATCCAACGCTTTAACATTCTGCTCCATTAGTTACATTGGCTCTGTTTCACTAAGGAACTTTACAGTGTACTCTGTGAATTATTGGAAAAAAACCTAAAACATGCTGAAAACAATAAAGTCTAAACTCTCAAGAATGATAACTAGTTTTTTTGTCCTCTCCTCAGATAATAATTTTTATAAAGAAGCAATGAATCCATTAACCAAGTCATATTTTTCCTTTTCTATTTGCTTGACTTTCTCAAATGCAGATAGCATTTTGTTGCTTTTCTCATTTTGCCTGACTGTGCTTTTTTAAGTTCATTTGTGCCTAAAATCCAAAATTTGGAAATATATCTGAGCTACAGTATTATAACATAAATCTAAACAATTATACAGAAAAACTCATTATGCCTTGAGACAAGTATATTAAGGCAACCAGGTTTTAAGCAAACTCATCTACTGTTCCTGTTTGTCAATATTTCAGTTGCACATAGGCTTAGTTTACAGCGGGTCTGTAGAATAAAATAGTAGGCCACAATTTAGTTTGTACAATTAGTTCTTCTAAGTGAAGATCATTCTTCCTTTCTTCCCTCTACTTCCCCACATAATCCTTCTTTGGATTCCAATGAATAAAGTTGAAGTTTGCCTCCTGATTCTCCCAAGCTTCCTCTCTTTGTCACATAACAAAAACAAGAGAAGAAACAAATTATCTATTACACTACTAGGCCTGATGGAATAAAGCAAAAACTATTTTCTACCCATTCTTCTCTTTTTTCAAAAATTCTAAGGATATTAAAGTATGCACATCAAGCAGTATTGAATCCAAATTTCGCAGCTTGAAAAGAACGTCAAAACCTAGTAATTTAAAAAAGGAGTAGAGATGTGTACTTCTCAGCATACTACTTGTGATTAATCTCAGACTTTACAATATTTTATTTAGAATATTTGAAAAACATTATGGGAAAGAAAATGGAACAGAACATATTTAAACTCAGAGAAAAGCAAAGGGATCATATCCAAATTTCATCCCTCTGCATGCTTACTCAGAGATATATTTTTTTCACAAGCTTCAAATTCCGCCTCAGTGTTTATGTACTCAGAACCAAGGTAATCAGCTTTAAGATCATGAATGCATGGAGGAGTGATCCATTAAAAATTAATCTTTCAGACTCATATTTTTCTAATTCAGCAATTTAGAAACACAAGCTCCATTGTACAAACAGTAAACTAAGGCAAACAATTTCAAGATCTTGAATATAAAATGGGAAAGAGTATACATGGCAGCATCTATTCATATGGATCCAAATGCAAATTCAGAAAAATACATTTGTAGAGAAATACATTTACACACACACACACACACAAAATTCATATCTCTCTCTCTTTCTCCAGTCTGATATTTCTTTTTAGAAAATTATTTAATTTAAAAAGTACCTCCTGGGAAGGAAGTTCACTCTCCATATCTGCTGATACTGTTCATTTAAAATAAGAGGACAACTATACAGCAACATTTTTGCTAAGGCTGTAGATTTATTTCATCAATTTAAAAATGCCACTATATTTCTAGTTAGCTCTGTGAGTTGATTGCCATAAAACTACAAGGGGGAGTAGTCTGTGCCAGGGCCCTACCTCATTACCTATCCCAAAAAAGCTGCTCTCAGCTTCTCCACTCAGTGTGTAATTCATAAAATAAGGTCAGAAACCTCTCTAAATAAATGGGCACTAGTGCTGTGTTGCTACCACTAATAAGAACAATCACTTGAATGGTCAGTTGGGGGTCTAGGAGGGACAAAACAACACTATACTATACCTGATCTTGCCAAAAGGACTTGCTGCCATGCGTACATACAAACACACACACATACACAAACACACACACTTTGCTATTTCCTTTGGGGGAAGCAACATTATGAAAGCAAAGAAAAAAGTAAACAAAAAAAGCATGTTTTTACCTGTCACAGGTGTGACATCTATATAATAGTAGGTATATAAAAACACACGCGTATTCAAATGCAACGTTGTGTCAAAATTTCAAAGCAATCGGTGAAGAACTTTCGGAGATTTAAGATTTTGAACAAACGAACATTTACATTTTTATTTATATAGATCTATTAAACACCCAGGGAGACATCATTTATACTTGTCCCAATTCAATTTTTTGTTTTGACCATCAGTCATACATTTATACTGTCTTTGTTTGTTTATTTATTTATCAAAGCTGTGAACATACCTAATACTTCTTCCTCCTACTCTCGTTTTTTTATGTTTGTTTATCAAAGCGGTAAAGATACCTAATACTTCTTCCTCCTATTCCCCCACAACAATAGTCCTGTGAGGTGAGTTGGGCTAAGACAGAATGAATGGCCAACAGTCACACAGCCAGTTTTCATGCCAAAAGCAGGACTAGAACTCACAGACTCCCAGTTTCTAGCATGGTGTCTTAATCAAGAGGCCAAAATTGTTCCCTCATATGTTTTACTACCTTAAATCATTGATACTCCATTCAGCAAACAACCTTCAACTCCAGATTCATGCAAAACAATAATTCAATCTTACTCAGTTTATCATGTGCTGTTTTCAAAATCAATAAATTACATTCATGGACTTTTTAATGTCCTGATGAAGAATCTGAAAATCTGATCTACATATGCTTTGCATAAACTTGCACTGCCTTTCCCAAATTTTGCTCACTGTCATATTTCATATCCTTTCACTCACGGTTCTCCTACACATTTTTCCAGACCCATCTGACAAACAAATCTGATTGTAGTTCTTGCATTCACTCTTGCTGTCTTTCCTTTTTGCAGTTAATCCATAAGGAAACCATATCTATATTTGACATTTCTCTACTTACATCGTCTGTACCTGTGATGTACCATTTTTTAACATTCACAGAGCGCTTATTATGTTGTTAATCAATTAGGTTTCCAGATAATATGCAAATATAAAATATAACAAAAGCCACAAAACATAAAACACAGAGAACACATTACCAAACTTAGGCCACCAAGAAAAATCTCAACCAAAAACAGAAAATTAACATCACTACTAAAATTCAGGAAGTTGTCTGAAAAAATAATTTTAATGGCTTTAAAGATGACCCAAATTTAAGAAGCCAGATGGACTTCTAGGGATAGGGCATTCCATGTATTAGGAACTTTCCTTTAGTTTATATCCACCCCACCTGTAAAGATGCATAGATTCTAAGCATCGACCTCTCTCAATGATTTCAAAAGATGGACAGAAACTATTTGGAGAATGGTTCTTATTGTTGCTTCAAACAT